GGTACCCTCCTCTACTACTCTCTCTCTTCTCTTAGGCCTTTCTTTTTACTGCTTCTCTCCTTCTCTCTCCTCTTTTATACTTAAATACTCTCTCCATACTAAGACATTGATTATTAATTTATAATTTTTAAAAAATTATTAATTTGTTTAAAAATTATATATCTTTACAATTTTACTTTCATTGGATATTTTATATAAATATTTTAATAATAGTAATTAAAATTTACTGTATTATTTTTTTAAAAAATAATAAATAAAATAATAATATAATTAAATATAAAAATTATTTAATATCCTAAAAAGCAATATTTACAAAAAAAAAAACTTCTTTTATTGTGGTTAATGGGTAATCTTTCTGATACTATTTATAAAACACTTAATAAAAGTAATTTTTATTCCATATATAAGATATTTTGTAATGATTAAATTATTTTTTAATGTTTGTACTTTATTAATTAACATTAAAATATTTAATATAATTGTATTATTATTTAAAGTCAAGAGTTAATATAAACATATTTATTACTTTTTTTGTAATATTAAAAAAATTAAATTTTTTATTATATATAAGATAATAAAAGTGTCTTATAATAAAAATAAAAAAAACATACCTTCATTAAATACTTGTACTTTTTTACAGAGCATTGTTTGAAAGAAAGTAATATTTTAAATTCCTTGAAGCATTAGCTTTATGGTCAGTGGTTATGAGGATGCATTAGGAAATAAAAAAAATACTTGTATTCTCTTTATTTAATATAATAAGATACTTATAATTAAGTTCATCTCTCAATTAATTACTTTTAAAATTTTATTAATTATATCCTAATTAAGGATATTTAAAAAAGTCTTATTACACTTTTTAATTATATTCTTAAACGTGATACTTCAAACAATGTTTTATAATATAAAACAGATGAAGAAAATTTTATTAAAAAGTTACTATCATGTATTTAAACTTTCTTGATATAATAAAAACTTTACATCATCAACGCTTTAAATAGAAGATTTTGGACTTTAATTTTCTAATCATACCTTAGCTAGCCTTTGGTGACTATTAAAACTAGACATGTGAAAGTTAAAAAGCAGAGAAATCATATTATTTACATTTAAAAAATTTAAAATATCTTATATTTTTTAATATTATATTAAAAAATGTCCGATATAATTAAACGGAGCTAGGAACATATGAGAAGCCGCGTGTAGACGTGCAGTTTTATGAGGAAATCAATTGCATTAGTTTTTGTTTTCCAAAGTGCACATATTTAATACTTTTTCCGTTTTAAATTACAAAATATTTTTAAATAAAATCACAAATTATTTATAAATATATTATAATTTTATTTTTTAAAATAAAAATATAAATTTTTAAAAATTTCTTTCATTCAATACTTCATTTATGAAAAAATATTGAAGAGATAATATAATGAGAAATATAATATTAAAAAAAGTTAAAATGCATAAAACTCTCTTGAACTTTGAGACAGTTGCATATAATTTTTTTTATTTTTAAAATTTTAAAATTATCTTCCCTAACCTTTAATTTTATTTTTCAAAACTCATTATTGTTAATTATATTATTTTTAAAATATTATTCAACTAAAAATATTATTAAAAAAATATTATATTGTATAACTATTTATAACAAATTATTTATATTTTTTGGATGGTTGAAGCATTGATAACCAAAAGAAAAAATTATTATCACTGCATAAAACTTTAAATATTTATGTTTAAATTAGTTTTATACATTTTTTTATCAATTTTATTGTTTTAAAAGATAAATTTTTATTTATATTTTCATGTTAGATTAATGTAATGCACATGGTCAAAATATTTAAAATTTTAAATATTATCATGTTAGATTAATTTATTTTTTAATACTAAAAAACTATGCATCATTGATAACAAAAAAAAAGATAAAACTAACACAAAAGTAAATATTTAAAATTTTATATGGTGATAATAATATTTTTTTTGGCTATTATTAATGTCTCAACTATTTAAAAAATTATAAAAAATTAATTAGTCATAGTTCTACAATATAATATCTTGTTTAATAATATTTTTTAGTTGAATGACATTTTAATATTCATGAAAAAATAGCATAATTAATAATAGGGGATTTTGGAAAATAAAATTAAAGATCAAGGGGGTTAATTTTAAATTTTTAAAGGTAAGAGTATTATATATAATTATTTCAAAATTCAGGAGGTTTTATATATTTTAGTTTAAAAAAATTATCAATGAAATTTATTTTTATTAAAATATTTTATATTTGAAATGCTAAATCTCTTCTTAAATATCTCATAATTTGAAATAAAAGTAGTGTGACTGAAGTTGAGGGGGAGAAAAACAGAGAGGGGAAATGTTTAATGGGTAAGGATTAAGGAGGATAAATATTTCTGTTGCTTACTTTTGAAAGGAAAATAAAGACAGCGGAGGTCTATTTATTTTATATATGCCATAATTAGGTGGACCATGGAGGAATATGTAATGTTTTTTGTTTCAAAACATGATGCTTCTTTTTCTAGTTAGATAACTGAGTTTCATAAATTCTCCCTAATTAAACCTACTTGCATGATTTTAATTCATCGATCCCTCGCCTTTTTCGCATTTTAGACAACCACATGCCATTCAATGAAAGCTCTCTCTCAAGTCTCAACATCATCTTTGGATCGCTTCAATTATTAATAATGAATGCATAGTAAAAAAAAAAGTCACTATTGAAATTCAGATCTTATTTGTTTATTACAGGAAGGTCATATAGCAAAAAATAAAAGGAGAAAAAGGTTTGATATATAGGCAGACACAATCTAAGTTGTAGGCATGGGCATTAATGATTAACTAACATGTCAATATAAAAAAGCAGTGAATAGCTCCAAAATTTGCAAAAGGGTGGCCTAAGATGACTTTATGATCTTAGGCTAGAAAGTAAACATAAAAACTTTCATTAATTTCCTAATCCCCCAATTGGTTAGGCACAATGACCTGGATTTGTCATTGCTTTTTGTCTAAGAAAACAGCTAATAATTGTGATAGGACTCTAATGGCAAAGTCAAAACCATTGGTAGGCAAAGTAATTACGCCTTTCTAAAGTGAAAAGGATGAATTTTCCTCAAATTAATGTAGTGTAGTTACATTGCATGTGAACTTGCCAGATTTCTTCCACTTGTTGGATGTTTTCATTGCTAATTCTCATCATTAATCACCAAAGCCTGCCAAAACCCTAATCCGAGAGAGAGAGCAACTAAAATATTCTCATTCCAATCAAACTCCATCCATTGGTTAGTCACTCAGATGAGTCTACAAATTTGGACAGAAACCAAAATACAAATTGCAGAAAATAGTAGTGGTACAAAACTAGTATCCGTGGCTCGTCTTTCAGGTCCGTACAACCAGGACAGAGTACCAGAATAAGGAAGAGAATCCGTAAGAGGATGAATGGCAGGGTCAACAAAAACAAAATTCCCAGAAAACCCATGAAGAGGGATTAGATCTGAGTAGTGAAACACGTAAAAAAATGAAGAAGCTTGGTTTCATGGATTCTTGAAATCAAGCTTTGAGATTTGGAAGATGATTAGGCAGAGAGGGGCATAGGCGTGAGATTTGGTGAGGTAGAAGGGGACAGAATAGACATCCGCCCGGAAATACAGGGGAGACCGTACAGTCATAAACACCCTTTTGATTCAGTTTTGGTGTTATATATATATATTTTATTCTTATGGGAATTTAAGCAACACATAGGCTCATCACAAGTGAGGCACTGGAGTCTTGGTTCTTTATCATAGGCTTCATTCACTCTCAATCTCTCTCTCTCTCTCTCTCTCACACACTCCTCATTCTATCTCTCTCTCACTGTCTACGCCACGCATCACGCCCAAAACAGTCGCAGCATTGCAGGTTTGCAGCAATTGCAGGCAGCACTGCTGACAGCAGCAGCAGCTTCACAGCCTACAGACAAAGCAAAAGAAAGAAAAAAGAGAGAGATAAAGAAAAGAAGATGAGCGAGGAAGGGAAGAGAGAGAAAAGACCATTTTCCTTTTTGAAACGGCATTCGGTGCTCATCAATACTGTGCTCATCACTCCTATCCGATATCTGAACCCTTTATTTTATTTAAAATGATCCCTACTATTTGTTGATTTGAAATTACTTTTTAAATATTTTTATATTATATTTATTAAAATAAAATTATAAAATTAAATATAGATTGTGCCTATCTAAATGATCAAGTAGCTAAAATTATAAAATTTTAAATATTAAATTATGCTTTTTAAATTTTATCTATACTATTAAGAATACATGTGAATGGTTAATTTATAGAAGTTATTAAAAAATAATACTCATTTCATTTGCAATCATTAAATACTTTTGAAGGAAGTTTTTCGTTTTAAAATATAAGATATTTGAATAGATTAAAATTTAATTAAATATATTAATTTTAATATTATCTTTTTTCTTTATAATTAATTTTCATCACTTCTTTTTTCGATATATTAAATTATAATATTTTGAAAAGTTTATATTTTTATTTTTGAAAGATAAAGTTGTTAAGTATATTTAATGAGATTTATTGGTATGTTAGATTTTATCTAAAAGTATCTTATAATTTATGATAGAGAGTATATTAAATTAGATAATTTAAATTAATAGATAAATTTATTAAATATTTTTATATATTTTATATATTTTTATTTTGATAAATATAAAATAAAAGTAAAAAACTTAAATTTAAATTATTTAATCAGGAGTCATGAGCATCATGATATTTATTCTCTAGACTCTAATAAGTATAAAAAATAATTTATATTTAATATTATAATTTTTATATACTTTTATTTTAATAAATATAATAAAAATATTTAAAAAATAATTTTAAATTAGCGGCAGGAATTATTTGAAGAGAAATGAAGGGTAAGGGTGGTGTGAATTCGGATGAGCAGCGAATGCGTTTCCATTTTTATTAGACTCCGACTTAAATCACAGTGAAAGCTTGATTTGATGCAAACCCAAAAACTGCTCATTCACTCAGTCATTCACTCTCCTCAGCGAGAAAAAAGTAAAAGAAAGAGCCCAAGAAAAGAAACAAAGGAAAATTAGCAGAGAGTGATAGGTCAGTGGGAGGTGGGAGAGAGAGAGAGACACACACAGAGAAAGAGAGTCTCTTTCTTTTTGGAGTATTGGGTCAGCTTCTTTTGGCAATGCCAAAGGTGCTCCCACCTCACGCTCTCTGAAAATGCTCAGGCATGAAATCACTCCTTGAAATCTCTCCTTTCTCCGAAGCTTTTATCTCCAGTTTCTGCTCATCCCTCTCCCCTTTGTCGTTAGATTTCTTTCGTTTGCATTGTCGCTAGGGCTTTGTTTCCTGTGATGGGTTTGATCGATCTCAACACCACTGAGGACGACGAAACGCCGTCGTCGGGTTCCTCTGCTTCATTGTCTTCTCATTCGGGTATTAGCACTTCGGCTTCCACATCTCCTGCTCCTTCGACTGTGTGCTTGGAGCTATGGCACGCGTGCGCCGGTCCAATGATCTCGTTGCCCAAAAAGGGAAGCATCGTGGTTTACTTCCCACAGGGCCAGCTTGAGCAGCAGGTTCAGGATTTTCCGGTCTCTGCCTATAATATCCCACCCCATGTTTTCTGTCGCGTTGCAGATGTCAAGCTCCATGTAATTATTCCGAGTCTCTTTCCTTTTTCTATTTGTTATTCAAGAATTTGATTTCCTTCAGCTGGTAAAATGTAGGGTTTCTGTTACTTCGTTTAGAAAATTGATGCTTAAAGAACTGTAAATTGCTCAAGTTCTTGCAGTTGTGCACTGCTCTGTGCTGGAAAATCAGATTAGAAAATATCTTCTGCTACTTCATCTTTCTTCATTAATATTTCACAACTGTCAAGCCACGTAAAAGGTAACCAGAGTTTGGTTCATATTTAATCTTACGTGAAATACGCGTGCTTTTCCTGTGCAGGCGGAGGAAGGTATCGATGAGGTGTACTGTCAGGTATCGCTGGTTCCTGAAAGTGAGGTGAGCTATCTTGACCAATGCTTGATTTGTTTGGGTTTTTGGGAAAGACACTGAAAAAGGAAAGAAAACGAGGAATCTCAACTTGTATATCGTGAATTAGCAAGTGCCTAGTCTTTGAGATCAAATAATGTTGCTAAAAAGACTGTTTATAATGTTATGTTTCAGTATTGCGTCATAATATGGTAATATTTATAGGATTAGATACTATCAGGATCCTGTACATATAGCCTCGATCTCTGTCCATGTTTATAGTCCGTCAACAGCCCTATCAGAGCAAGAGGGGAAAATATAACCAGCATATTACGATAGGAGTGAAAGACAGTTGAAGAGATACCTGCCTATAGAGTACCATCTGCGGATGATTAACAATTTGTTTAAACTTGGTCATTGTCATAGCAAGCCGAGAGAAGACTACGGGAAGGTGAAATCGATGCTGACTGTGAAGATGAGGATGCTGCAGCTGCAGTGAAGTCAACAACACCGCATATGTTCTGTAAGACCCTGACGGCTTCTGATACTAGCACTCATGGTGGATTCTCTGTGCCTCGGCGGGCAGCTGAAGATTGCTTTCCTCCGCTGGTAAAATATGATATTTGATGTCTTTGTTATCCTCCTGTCAGAGTGACCTTGTGCTTGTGTTTTTCTCTGGTCATTTTTAATTTCACTCATGCTTTCACAGTTTCATATGCAGAAGTTTAGTCAGATCATATTAATTACTAATTAGTGTCTCAAAATATGGTGGCGGCTTAACCTTGTGCTTAAATCTGTGCTTGTTGCCAGGACCAATACCTATCTTTCCAGATTATGCTTAAATAGTTCCTTCATAGTAATTCAAGTGAACTTTTATTTCAGGATTACAATCAACAGCGTCCTTCACAAGAGCTTGTGGCAAAGGATCTGCATGGCCTGGAATGGAGGTTCAGGCATATATACAGGGGTATGCAACTTGTGTCTGTTGTGTTTTTTCATTCCTGATATGTAATAGGCTGTAATTTCTGGAGCTGACTGAAATACTATATCCTGTTTTGGTTTCTATTTGGATCTTTCAATATATGAGCAGGGCAGCCTCGCAGGCATTTGCTTACAACTGGTTGGAGTGCATTTGTAAACAAGAAGAAGCTTGTGTCTGGAGATGCTGTGCTGTTTCTGAGGTATGAAGAGTTAATTCCACCAAGCCTCCATTAGATTTCCCATAATAAATAACACTTTAAATTTTGTGGCAGGGGTGAGGATGGAGTTCTGAGATTAGGCATTCGCAGGGCATCTCAGTTGAAATGTGGTGGTAGCTTATCAGTTCCATCTGGCTTGCATCTTAATCCTAATAGTTTTATCGATGTGGTGAATGCAATATCTACGAAGTGTGCCTTTAGTGTTTGCTATAATCCAAGGTATTTTTCTGCCTTTTCTTCTGCAGTTTTTGAATTATGTTTCATCTTTTTGAATTATCTTTTTGATTGTAGAGTGCAATCATGTTGGTTAAATATAGGAATTCAGAAGGATGTTTCCGGGATATTACCCAACATGAACCCAAATCATGAGTTTTTCCTTGTTTGTCATTTGTAGCTTCTTTTGTTTTACAGTCATACCTGAGCTTTGCATGTATCCATGCCTCTCGCTGTCCTCTGCATTTTTTTTTCCAACTGTGCTTAGCGTTGCTTTCCAACTTGACCTCAACTATTACCCTGTCAGCCTGTTTACAAACTGACCTACAAGTCAAGCCAACCAAGCTATCCGCAATTCCTAACCCAGTTTTTATCCGATGCCTGCTCTTCTAATATGATATGATAAAAACTCCTCATTTTGTCCAACTCATTTTATTAGTAATGCATTGTGTGATGAAGTCACTTCCACAACAAAACCAAGTCTTGGTAGCACTAATATGTACATTATGCTTGTACTATGGAGCATAGCGCCTGCTATCTGAGTTCATGAACACTGATTTGACTGTGCTCTTTAATATACATTTGTCTTTATTTAAGCCCTTATTAGTTTTTTGTGATCTGCAAACCTCCTCTCTGATGCTTTTCTTTGTTCCCATCACTGCTTTCTTATTATTGTCTTCCATCCATTATTTTGTCATTTGATTGTAGGGTTAGCTCCTCAGAGTTCATAATACCACTCAACAAATATTTGAAGAGCCTTGATCAATTCTATTCTGTTGGAATGAGGTTCAGAATGCGTTTTGAAAGTGAAGATGCTGCAGAACGAAGGTTTGTCTAGGTTGTGCTTATACCATTTAGATTGTGTATCAGTAGCAAATCTTGCATTAATTTCTTTTGAGCAGATGCACGGGATTGGTTATTGGCATTAGTGATGCAGATCCTGTTAGATGGCCTGGATCCAAGTGGAGATGCCTTATGGTATGTTGTTAGGATCATTTTTAACTTCTAACATTGGTGTGATTTAAATGTTTTGTGATGTCACTTCTCATTCAAGAGATTGTGTTTGAACTTTTAATTTGTAAGCCCTAGGGATTGCTTTGGCTTTTGGCAACACAAGGGTCTTGTGTTTGGGTCATTCCAGCAGTTAGGTCGTGGCTCTTAATTTCTGTTAGCTGGTGTATGGTATTATTTTCTGTTACTTCACCATTAAATGGATTTTAATAGACTTCATTCATCGTAGGCTTGATGGATCGCTTAAACCCTTACATTGCTATCAATTGAGAACCCAAAAGTTCTTTTTACTCAACTTCAACTTGCTGCATTTCATTCCTTATTTGTGGAACGAGGCTGAGTTCTTCACAGTCAAGATAATAGGTCTTCCACAAATAATTAGCGATGGGAACCTTGATAGTCGAATGATAATTACTTGGTTTTGACTGGCAGGTCGTTCTTTTCAATAATTTCATGATATGTGCCTCTTCTCCCATTTTTTGTTATAACTTACTAAGTGATGATCCCATCTTTGCAGGTTAGGTGGGAAGACATGGAAGGCACTAGGCATAACAGGGTTTCCCCATGGGAAATTGAGCCATCTGGTTCTGCTTCCACTCCCAACAACTTCAACGCAGCTGGTTTAAAGAGGACCAGGATTGGTTTGTCTTCTTCAAAACAAGAATTTCCAGTTCCAAGTAAGTCTTTGGAATTTTCTGGAGGTTTTATCTTGTGTTATCCTACTACTACCTGCAACTTTGTTGATGCCTTTATTTTCTGCCCGTCAGATGGGATTGGAACATCGGACTTTGGGGAATCGATGAGGTTCCAGAAGGTCTTGCAAGGTCAAGAAATTTTGGGTGTTAATATTCCTTTTGATGGTGTTAGTGCTCAGAGTCACCCCTTTTCTGAAATAAAAAGGCGCTATCCTGGTTCCAGTGTACCTGGGATTGCCGCTTCAGGAAATAATATCAGAATTTCACAAGTGCATTCTGATGATTCATGCAATGGCATAGGCTTTAGTGAATCTTTCCGATTCCAGAAGGTCTTGCAAGGTCAAGAAATACTTCCAAGCCGACCATATGGAAGAGCTTTCTCTTGTAATGAGGTTCAAGGAAATGGTCGCTGTGGGATTTTCGACAGTTATCAAGTGCCAGGTTCCAGAAATGGATGGACTGCCTCAGTACAAAATAATTCTGCCAATTTGCATCCTTCTGTTCCATCGGTGCAAGTGTCATCGCCGTCATCAGTTTTCATGTTTCAGCAAGCAGTAAACCCTACTCCCAACTGTGACTACAACAATAGCATCATTACAAATCTGAGGATGGAGGGTAAAATGCAACATCGAGGTCTGCATGCTTCTGAAATCAATGGTGGGAAATTTGCAGCAGTATCGTCTCATGAGCCTGGTTTCTGTGGGCAAACTCAGGGAAGAACTAAATCTATTGGTGTTTTTGAGCATGATCAAATGGACACTTCTCATGATTCTGTTTCACCCCTGAGAGATGGTCAAGAGCTGATTTCCTCGTATAAAAGAAGCTGCAGGCTCTTTGGTTTTCAATTGACTCAGGAAAATCACATTGCAAATTGCAAATGAAGAGGCTATTGGTTGAGTTCCTACCATGGTGGCTTTCACTAGGGAGTTGGAGGCAACTGTATTAAAGTAAAGCTAGCTTTATTCAGAAACCTGATGCTTTTTAATATTGTGGAAAGAAACCTGATATTTCATTGAGAAGTAATGCTGATATTTGATTTTACCTATGTGCCGTATTTTATGAAAAAGATGTGATGTTTATGTTATAAATGATGACTTCAGTTCAAGTGTTATATATTGTAGATAACTAGGTCTTGAATTCAAACAAAGTAGTATTTTAGTTTTGATTTGATTTGCTTAAGGTGCAATCTCATTTGCCCATTCATTAATGGACCCTCATAGGCACAGATACAGTTAGCTTTTTATCCATTCAGTTCTCATCTGGAAAATGTAGTACCAGCAAATCATAAAGCAAAGCTAACGAGTCATTTAAAAGTTGCATATGGTGTGTTGATGTGGACTTGTGATGAATTTGATGAACAATTTGGCTATCATGAGCGCCTTTTGGATTGTAGTTCAAAAAAAAAATTTGTTGGGAGAAATATTTTGTATTTAATTATTGTTAAAGTCGCTTTTTTTTTGGGTTTTGAAAACAAAAAAATGGGAGCGTTTTAAAGTTATTTTGTTTTATTTTTATTGTTTTCAAAAAATACTATATTCAATTAATGCAAATTAAATAAAACATTATCATAAATTACTATCATTAACCATAGGAGTTGCTATTGGCTGATGTTTTTAATTATAAAATTCCTTTTAAATGTACATAATTAACTAAATTTTTTTGTTTTCTTTCAATTTGTTTTGGGGAAACATAGATTTGGTACCTTAACTTTGTTTATATTTTACTATTGATCTTTGCAGTTTTTTGTTAGTGTTCTACATTCTTACACTTTTGTTTTTTTGTTGTTTTAGGTTCTTTCATGAACAAAGTGGAACAATTTTGAATGGATCTAAAATAATGAAAAATAAAAATATAAAGATTAAAACACTGAAATCAAAAGTGAGTAAAGTGTAAGAATTCAAAACTATATTTTTTTTAAATAAAAGTAGGAACCAAAAATGCCCTTAAACTATCTGATGATTCTCTTCCCACTAATGAATTTATAAGAATGGAGATGGTGATTTGTGGGCAAATATGATCCATGTTGTCACAAAACCCCAAATAAAACTCACTAATAATAAAAAAATACTAACTTGATGAAATAACAAAACCCAAAACTTAAAAAACAAAAGACCAGGATAATAATAAAAATAATTTTTACAAGGACCTATTTATTAGTAATTACTTTATGTAGTTAAGAAATTCAGTTAAAATTTTTCAAGAATTATAAAATTTTTGAATTATACTAGTACTTGATGAAAATTCATTAATTTGTACATGTTTTCAATTAATTAGTGTCCTTCCTATTCTATATTATATTTTCAAATAACTTCAAATAGTTCTCACTTAGTGATACTTCATCCATTTTCAAATATTAAAGAAGCCGAAATTATCTTATCTTATATTTTTTCATCATAAGTAATATTACAAATTTCAAGAAGCATTAATTAATTTTTTTTTTCAATTGTCCTCAAAAAAGGATACTATCATTAAACTAGGGAAAAAAGTAAACATTAATTACAAGGGCATTTTTGTCTAAACATTTCAATTTTAAACATAATTACTAAAGTTAACTAGCTTTCTTAAGCTATATGAATTGGTTGAAATTCATTTATATTTGAAAGTGGAGGGAGTAGTTAGTATATCTAAACTTGTAGAAAAATGTGATTTTTAAATTCTATCTTTTTCAAGAGTTAATGAAGACAATAAAATATTATTCAGAAATTAAAGACATTGTATCGACAACTTTGTGTAACCAAGGAGGGGCAGGCATAAAAAAATTTGACTACCTCATCTCCACTTGATATTTAAGATTTTGCCTATTTACTCTATAATTAGAACAGGAAGGAAGTAGTGGATATGGTGGTTTCCTTTGGGATGAACAGGGCACTTGAATTAAAGGTTTCAATTGTAAGCTTATTAATGTTCCTCCAGTGATTGCGGAGATTCTGGCTATCATACAAAAGCTTCAAATTTGCTGGTTATTGGGATTTAGAGACTTAGAGATATATAGTGATTGTACACATGCCATCCAGTTGATTCAGCACAGATATGACATTGAGCACCCCTTTAAAGACATTATTGAGGATGCTAGATTGCTTTATAATAGGGACTGGAAAGTTTTGATGCACCACTTTAATAGGAGTTTTAATTCTAATGCTGATTATCTTGCTAGACTTTCTCATAATTTAGATGCTTGTTTTTGTACCTATGATCTCCCCTCACCTACTCTGCAGGAAGCAGTAGTAGATGATAATGATCCTGTTGAAAACCTGGCCAGTTTGTAATCTGTTTCGGTTAATGTATCCTCTTTTTAGTAAAAAAAAAAAAAAAGAAAAAGAACAGGAAGGAGAAGTTTGTTTATTTAGTTAGAAAATATTAAAACAAAAAAGATGTAAAGAAAACTTGCACTTTAGTAAAGGCTTTTATGAAAAGGATAGAGGGAGGAAGGATTTGTGTCTTTTATTGGACTAGGCCATAAGGAATTGAAATTGTAGGGCTTTTGGTGGATATTTTGTTATGCTTTAGTATCATAATTTTTTGAAAAGGTCTGAACAAAATATCACTTTGTCGTTCGTAAATTATAAAATATTTTAAATATAATTTTGTATATCAATTTTCAATAAATCTCATTAAATATACTTAATAATCTTATTTCTTTAAAAAATAAAAATATAAACTTATAAAAATACTCTTCATTTAATATATTGAAAAGAAAAAGGAATAAAAATTAAATATAGAGAGAGAACAAAAAAATAATATTGAAAAAAGCCTATTTAATAAAATTTTAAGGAAAAATGACAGAGAGGCCATAAAAGAACAAACTAATTTAACTTAGGTTTTAAGTGTCAACTTTTAGGAATTTGCAAGTTCGGCTTCTAATTTTGTATCTTTGTTGTGATAAATTTGCAACTTATTTTTTTAAATTTTAATATGATTGAAAAATAAATATCGTTAACATTTGAAATACAAATCACAAATTCATCGCAACAAAGTTGCAAAATTGAGAGTTAAACTTGTAAATTTTTAAAAATTAACACTTGAGACCTAAGTTGAATTAATTACTCCTTTTGAGTTTTTTTCTGTCATTCTCCCAAATTTTTTTTTAAAGTGCCTTATAACTTTTTTTAAAAAAAAAACCCATCCAAGGCAAGACAAGCTTGAAAACTATAAATATGCCAACAATGACCTCAAAAGCCTGTAGCAAATTCATACAACTGGCGGGACAAGTCCAAACCAATTGAATATTCCCTTCGAGTTCCCTCAGCATCCCGCACCATTAAGTCTACGCATTTGAAGATTTCTCTAGGTATATTCCAGATACATCCCATCCACTATCGATATAAATGTCACGAATATCGCTGACCATGTGTCTAAGGGAGCGACAAGGATCACAATCATGGAATATGAGATTCCAGGCTTCAACAGAATCTGAATAAAGCTGAACATTTGCAATCCTTTCTTTTTGACATACCTCAAGACCTGTTCTAATGGCTGTTCACTCAGCTTCAATGGTGGAAGCTGCTCCTCCGCAGGCAGCATGTCTAGAAAAAGTAACAGAAGCATCCACATCAATCAGGACAGTTCCTGCAGGTGGTGGCATCCATCTTGAACTATCCTTAGTGAGGCCATGAAAGATCTCGTGTCTGTATTTGTTGCCAGTTGATTCCTCCATGAGGTGATGGACTTATAATAAATAAGTGCAGAAAGCTTTTATGAAATGGATGGGTTTAAGAGATGAGAAAGCTTGACATAAATGAGTTATTCTGGTTCAGCCCAACCTACACAGTCTATTTCTAGTCTTTAAAATCACACTTGAGATTTTTTATTATAACCACAAGTTTAACCAATGCATTGAAGAATAATATCCTTGGGCGTAAAGCTTGAGTTCTCAAAAATCTCTGCAGCATCATGTCCAAAAACTTGTAGCCATGGCCATCTTTGAAATTTTGCTGCTACTCAGATTTTGTTGAGTTCCAGTTCAACCATCCCTGCAAATCACTACAGTAAAAGAAAAAAAAGGGTAATCGTTAGCAATAAGAATCTCTTTCCACACTCTTTTTTGCAATCTCACAATCATGTAAAATGTGTATAACACTCTTCATAGAGACACTCAAAAGGATAGTGGACATTATTTGTAAGCCCTCGTTTAGTTCTGAGTGAATTTGTGAGCAGTCTCTTGTAAACTACCCGCCATATAAAGAATTCAATTTTCTGAGATTGGCTGCTTCCAAAGGTTCACCCACATCGGTTCAGTAGTTCTTGGACTTTGCTTATGCAAAAAGTCATATGTTACTTCAACATTAAATC